CCACCTTTTGGCCTTTTAGGCCAGTGGCTTTTTTCCCACTAACTTGCTTTAAAGTATGACTATGTGTTCACAAATGTCTAATCCTTCATTGTCTTTAGTGGGGAGCTTGTATGCCATCAAATTCATATGAAAAACTCACTACAACAAGCACTTCTTGTCAGACAGGTTCCTTACTCTATATTGATCAACTTGTTCTCTGATTTCAAACTCTAAATTCTGCTGAGTCCTTGGCTCTGATGCTTTTTCTAGACACTAGCTTTTGCAAGTAGATTGGGTTTTGGTAAAAATTTTTCATCTGCTGTGGTGCTAATGGAAGCTACATTTGCTCAGCCAGTCCATCTGGGTCTACCCACCCAGGGTGTGGTATCTTGGTTGTTTCCCTCAGAAGAAGACTCTGACAATGGTTTGAGTGCAAGTTGCTTATTTGAGAAGTGGCCCTAGGAAACTCCATCTAGAGGGTGGAGAAGTGAACAAGGAAGATAGGCAGTAAAGTGTGTGCTATTAAGCCAGCTACCACAGTGGTGATTAGAGCTTAACCCAGGCTTATTAGGAGCTCCCTGAAAGCAGGGCCCAGTGCCCCTTCTCCTCTATTTTCCTCACTGTAGAGCCCAACACAAGGCCTGGTCAACTGAGAACTCATGTTATAATTGAGTTGATGACCACATAGGTGAACACTGCTCTAAAATGGACCCGAGAGAGAGAGAAAAAAACCCTGTTGGAATGAAAGGTCTTTGCATAGCTCTTGTTTCTGCCTGCACTGCTAGGTCCCTTGATGGTCACGTGTCAGGTTCCTTGTTATTCATCTCTCAGCTGCAATGTTACCTCCTTGGCTCATTCCTGATTCCATAATTTAAAGTAGCCACCCAGACACTCTCCAGCACATGACCCTATTGTAATCTCTGCACAGCCACTTATTACCATGTGAAGCTTTCCTTGGTTGTTTATATATTTTTTGCCTGTCTCCCCCATAAATACAGGTTATTTATACTGTGTTGTCTTCTTTATATAAGAATAAAGTTTCCAGGGCGCCTGGGTGGCTCAGTTGGTTAAGCGACTGCCTTCGGCTCAGGTCGTGATCCTGGAGTC